AGTTGGACCAAAACGTAGTCATCAGCTTCAATGTGCGGGTTATCTGTGTATCTGTCTCTAAAGGCCCGCCACAGCACTGACTGATGCTGCAGTACAATGGCGGTTTTGGGCATAAGAGGAATCAGGCGGCCAACTAAAGCCCTATCTTCCTGGCATTTTCCTCTTAGTAAAAAATAAATGAAGAACAAAAAGGCACATTACCGTGACTGGAACAATACACAGATAACCTACATATAGAAGAAAGAAGCTTACGACGACGTTTCGGTCCGACTTGGACCATTTACTAAGTGTTATATTACAGCAGAGGTTGTGGACAGGGGAAGTGTACTATAGACATAGCCAGGACGGCAGACTACTTATAAGAACATAAGAATGTAGGAACACTGCAGAAGGCCTACTGGCCCATACGAGGCAGGTCCTTATCAAAACGACATCTACCTAAAGCTACTCAAGAAATAACTCCCGTACTCCCGTACTTATATATAATCTCGCACAGAACACCAAAAATTCCAGGACAACCACTGTTTCAGCGAGAGACTCGTGTAGTACACAGTTGAAAGAGTTTCCACTGACTGCCTCTATTCAACTTGCTGTCAAGCTTGTATTTTAATGGGCAAATGTAAGAGAATTGACTTGTACTGACACACCACATCAGTAGTGGAGAAAGCGGCAGAGCGATCACTCTGCCGCTTTCCCCACTACTGACATTTCATCTCCAATCCGTGATTGCCGGCCCAACTCCGCACTAAATTAAAATAACAATATGTCAGCTGTCCCCTGAGGCTCCCAGCCAGAACACTAGAGGCTCCAAACAATATTTAATCTTTGATAATTAACATGGATTCCCAAGGGTACAATCTGATAGAGAATTTCCAATAACTTTGCTAATTCTGTTCATTACAATTTAAACCTTCCTGATTAGATAAAGAATCTTAAATCCCCTGATAGAGTGTTAGTGTTTACGAAATGCTCTACACTGTGAGCTAATTAGTGTATTATTTATGTAATACAAAAATATTGTATTTTTCTGCAGTATACAGGTAATGTAGTTTACATGTAATAAAATACTGTTAGGCAAAAAAAAAGAAAAAAAAAGTCAGTAACATGCAGGCAGATCAGCCAGACTATTACCACTATTTAGCGATTACTTAAGAACTAGACACAGGTCATTATGTAGGAACTCTTAAATGTACAAAAGAGAGGCAGCTAAGTGAACAATAGTGAACAGTTAAGTGGATATATAATACTGTGTGTATATATATATATATATATATATATATATATATATATATATATATATATATATATATATATATATTATATATATATAGCAAGGAATTCGCAAGAGCAGGCGAAATATACATAAACACTGATCTCTGGCTGAAGGAGACTCGAACTTACGAACCTTGGAACAAGGTACGCAGTGCTTTACCTATCTACCCACATTGGACCACTACCTTGGAGTCCAGTTTGCGCTAGACTTTGATCCAAGGCAGCCAGCTTTCAGGGAGAAGGCTTACAGCTTTTCATCTCATTTCCTGCATCCATCAGCCTTACTAGAGATATTAAAAATGCAAGGAATTCGCAAGTAAGCTGGCTGCCTTGGATCAAAGTCTAGCACAAGCTGGACTCCAAGGTATTGGTCCAGTGTGGGTAGATTGGTAAAGCACTGCGTACCTTGTTCCAAGGTTCGTAGGTTCGAGTCTCCTTCAGCCAGAGATCAGTTTTTACACACTATATATATATATATATATATATATATATAATATATATATATATATATATATATATATATATTATATATATATATTATCACACTGGCGGATTCCCACCAAGGCAGGGTGGCCCGAAAAAGAAAAACTTTCACCATCATTCACTCCATCACTGTCTTGCCAGAAGGGTGCTTTACACTACAGTTTTTAAACTGCAAAATTAACAGCCGTCCTTCAGAGTGCAGGCACTGTACTTCCCATCTCCAGGACTCAAGTCCGGCCTGCCGGGTTTTCCCTGAACCCCTTCATAAATGTTACTTTGCTCACACTCCAACAGCACGTCAAGTATTAAAAACCATTTGTCTCCATTCACTCCTATCAAACACGCTCACGCACGCCTGCTGGAAGTCCAAGCCCCTCGCACACAAAACCTCCTTTATCCCCTCCCTCCAACCTTTCCTAGGCCGACCCCTACCCCGCCTTCCTTCCACTACAGACTGATACACTCTTGAAGTTATTCTGTTTCGCTCCATTCTCTCCACATGTCCGAACCACCTCAACAACCCTTCCTCAGCCCTCTGGACAACAGTTTTGGTAATCCCGCACCTCCTCCTAACTTCCAAACTACGAATTCTCTGCATTATATTCACACCACACATTCTCTCAGACATGACATCTCCACTGCCTCCAGCCTTCTCCTCGCTGCACCATTCATCACCCATGCTTCACACCCATATAAGAGCGTTGGTAAAACTATACTCTCATACATTCCCCTCTTTGCCTCCAAGGACAAAGTTCTTTGTCTCTACAGACTCCTAAGTGCACCACTCACCCTTTTCCCCTCATCAATTCTATGATTCACCTCATCTTTCTAGACCCATCCGCTGACATGTCCACTCCCAAATATCTGAATACATTCACCTCCTCCAAACTCTCTCCCTCCAATCTGATATCCAATCTTTCATCACCTAATCTTTTTATCCTCATAACCTTACTCTTTCCTGTATTCACTTTCAATTTTCTTCTTTTGCACACCCTACCAAATTCATCCACCAATCTCTGCAACTTCTCTTCAGAATCTCCCAAGAGCACAGTGTCATCAGCAAAGAGCAGCTGTGACAACTCCCACTTTGTGTGTGATTCTTTATCTTTTAACCTCCACGCCTCTTGCCAAGACCCTCGCATTTACTTCTCTTACAACCCCATCTATAAATATATTAAACAACCACGGTGACATCACACATCCTTGTCTAAGGCCTACTTTTACTGGGGTAATATATATATTTATATATATATATATATATATATATATATTTATATATATATATATATAAATATATATATATATATATATATATATATATATATATGGCCCGGTGGCCTGGTGGGTGGCCCGGTGGCCTGGTGGCTAAAGCTCCCGCTTCACACACGGAGGGCCCGGGTTCGATTCCCGGCGGGTGGAAACATTTCGACACGTTTCCTTACACCTGTTGTCCTGTTCACCTAGCAGCAAATAGGTACCTGGGTGTTAGTCGACTGGTGTGGGTCGCATCCTGGGGGACAAGATTAAGGACCCCAATGGAAATAAGTTAGACAGTCCTCGATGACGCACTGACTTTCTTGGGTTATCCTGGGTGGCTAACCCTCCGGGGTTAAAAAATCCGAACGAAATCTTATCTTATCTTATATATTGGGAGTAGACTTCTCAGTGGATGGGTTTATGCAGGATGAAGTAAACAATGAACTGATGAAGGAAACAGGATGAGTGGTGCACTGAGAAGTCTGTGTAGACAAAGAACTTTATCCATAGAAGCAGAGAGGGGAATGTATGAGAGTATATTGGTACCAACACTCTTATATGGGTGCGAAGCTTGGGTTGTAAATGTTGCAGCGAGGAGGAGGCTGTAGACAGTGGAGATGTCCTATCTAATGGCAATGTGTGGAGCAAATATTATGCAGGGAATTAGGAGTGAGGAAGTTAGGTGGTGTGGATTACTAAAAATATTAGAGGGCTGAAGAGGGGTTATTGAGGTAGTTGGATCATTTAGAGAGAATGGACCAAAATAGGATGACTTGGAGGATGTATAAATCTATATTGGAAGGCGGGGTAGGGGTCGTCTTAGGAAACGTTGGAGGGAGGGGTAAAATAGGTTTTTTGTGCAAGGGGCTTGGACATGCAGCAGGCATGTGTGAGCGTGTTAGATAGGAGTGAATGGAGACGAATGTTTTTTGGGACCTGAAATGAGTCCTGGAATTGGGAAGTACAATGCCTGCACTTTAAAGGAGGGGTTTGAGATACTGGCAGTTTAGAGTGACGTCTAAACTGTCGTATATAAGCATCTCTGCAAAGACAGTGATTATGAGTGATGGTGAAAGTGTTAGATGATTGTAATAAAGTTGGTAGAATTACCGACAATATGTAAAGTAAAAGGACACAAGTGCAACTAATGTGACATTTATTGTGGCAACGTTTCGCTCTCCAGGAGCGATAAAGCTCCTGGAGAGCGAAACGTTGCCACAATAAATGTTAGATGATGATAAGTGTTTCTTGTTTGGGTCACCCTGCCTCGGTAGAAAACGAGGAAGATTAAACAAAAGCAACAAGCGCTAAACAAATGCTATCATACCATTTCTATAATCATTTGAAATAAATTATATATATAAATCTTAACCTCTGCAATGTTTTATTTGCGTCATAAACTGTAAATATTTATTAAGATCATTTTCAATCCTCCTCTAGTGAGCTGATGTTCTCTGGATGAATTTTTGTGCACCAGTAATATGTTGTGCGGACAGATTTGAACCCCATGCTGTACGTAACGGAATGTAATGGATACAGCACATGGCCGGGCTCTGAGGCTCTACTACTGTGGGATCCTGGCCATGGGCCGGGCTCCCAGTACACTGTCCTCACTCACCCTCCTCACCCATTAGACTGTCCTCACCCACCCTTCTTCACCCAGGCTTTTGTTCCACTATGGAACTATCTTCCGAGTAGGGCGATCGAGGCTAGGATCTTGGGTGGCATTAAAGAGAGTTTGGACAAATATACGAGTGGGATGGACTAGGTTTGATTGGTGTCGTGGGTACGGAAGTAAATTCTTGGGTAGCTTTGGGTAGGGGTGATTTTAATAAGGACATGCCGTGTATGGGCCAGTAGGCCTTCTGCAGTGTTCCTCCATTCTTATGTTCTTGTGTTCTATGTTACTGTCATAGTACTGGGTAGCAGTATATTGATGTAGTATTACGTTGTGCTAAATTAAATATTGTACCTTGTTATGGTGGCAGGGAGACGGATGAGTGGCGGCTATGTTGCCTGGCAAGACACGTGGAGAAGTGTTTACCAGTGGCTGACGAGTTCTCCTCCTGTGAGGACCTGATGTCCAACCTGGTGCTGCGGGTGTGTATCTGGATCCTCGGCTTCATAGCTCTCCTCGGTAACTCCTTCGTCATCATCTGGAGGAGTGTTTACTCTAGTGGTAACAAGGTGAGGCTCCAGTATGGTTCAGTGTTTAGTGGTAGCAAGGTGAGGCTCCAGCATGGTTCAGTATTTAGTGGTAACAAGGTGAGGCTTCAGTATGGTTCAGTGTTTAGTGGTAACAAGGTGAGGCTCCAGTATGGTTCAGTATTTAGTGGTAACAAGGTGAGGCTCCAGTATGGTTCAGTGTTTAGTGGTAACAAGGTGAGGCTCCAGTATGGTTCAGTGTTTAGTGGTAACAAGGTGAGGCTCCAGCATGGTTCAGTGTTTAGTGGTAACAAGGTGAGGCTCCAGTATGGTTCAGTGTTTAGCGGCAACAAGGTGAGGCTCCAGTATGGTTCAGTGTTTAGTGGTAACAAGGTGAGGCTTCAGTATGGTTCAGTGTTTAGTGGTAACAAGGTGAGGCTTCAGTATGGTTCAGTGTTTAGTGGTAACAAGGTGAGGCTCCAGCATGGTTCAGTGTTTAGTGGTAACAAGGTGAGGCTCCAGCATGGTTCAGTGTTTAGTGGTAACAAGGTGAGGCTTCAGTATGGTTCAGTGTTTAGTGGTAACAAGGTGAGGCTCCAGCATGGTTCAGTGTTTAGTAGTAAAGGTGAGGCTCCAGCATGGTTCAGTGTTTAGTGGTAACAAGGTGAGGCTCCAGCATGGTTCAGTGTTTAGTAGTAACAAGGTGAGGCTCCAGCATGGTTCAGTGTTTAGTAGTAACAAGGTGAGGCTCCAGCATGGTTCAGTGTTTAGTAGTAACAAGGTGAGGCTCCAGCATGGTTCAGTGTTTAGTGGTAACAAGGTGAGGCCTCCAGCATGGTTCAGTGTTTAGTGGTAACAAGGTGAGGCTCCAGCATGGTTCAGTGTTTAGTGGTAACAAGGTGAGGCTCCAGCATGGTTCAGTGTTTAGTGGTAACAAGGTGAGGCTCCAGCATGGTTCAGTGTTTAGTGGTAACAAGGTGAGGCTCCAGCATGGTTCAGTGTTTAGTGGTAACAAGGTGAGGCTCCAGCATGGTTCAGTGTTTAGTGGTAACAAGGTGAGGCTCCAGCATGGTTCAGTGTTTAGTGGTAACAAGGTGAGGCTCCAGCATGGTTCAGTGTTTAGTGGTAACAAGGTGAGGCTCCAGCATGGTTCAGTGTTTAGTGGTAACAAGGTGAGGCTCCAGCATGGTTCAGTGTTTAGTGGTAACAAGGTGAGGCTCCAGCATGGTTCAGTGTTTAGTGGTAACAAGGTGAGGCTCCAGCATGGTTCAGTGTTTAGTGGTAACAAGGTGAGGCTCCAGCATGGTTCAGTGTTTAGTGGTAACAAGGTGAGGCTCCAGCATGGTTCAGTGTTTAGTGGTAACAAGGTGAGGCTCCAGCATGGTTCAGTGTTTAGTGGTAAACAAGGTGAGGCTCCAGCATGGTTCAGTGTTTAGTGGTAACAAGGTGAGGCTCCAGCATGGTTCAGTGTTTAGTGGTAACAAGGTGAGGCTCCAGCATGGTTCAGTGTTTTTGTGGTAACAAGGTGAGGCTCCAGCATGGTTCAGTGTTTAGTGGTAACAAGGTGAGGCTCCAGCATGGTTCAGTGTTTAGTGGTAACAAGGTGAGGCTCCAGCATGGTTCAGTGTTTAGTGGTAACAAGGTGAGGCTCCAGCATGGTTCAGTGTTTAGTTTGGGAACAAGGTGAGGCTCCAGCATGGGTTCAGTGTTTAGTGGTAACAAGGTGAGGCTCCAGCATGGTTCAGTGTTTAGTGGTAACAAGGTGAGGCTCCAGCATGGTTCAGTGTTTAGTGGTAACAAGGTGAGGCTCCAGCATGGTTCAGTGTTTAGTAGTAACAAGGTGAGGCTTCTGCACGGGTCAGTAGGGCGTTCACACACTGGCTGTGTACTAGGTTGCCTTATGACGCTAAATCCACAAGAATTATGTTTGAGACCCACTTCAGTTACAGGGTCAAATACACAATTGACTTCATTTCCAATTTATACCTGCATTTGGGTTCCTGTCTCAAATACGCACAACAATGCAAGTGCTCTACCAACTGAGCCACGGATTCCTCCGTCTACTTGGGAAATTCCAGTGAAAAATATTCACTACCTTCTATGCCCGAAGGCCAATTTACATCTTACAAACACACTAATTTTCCCTTAAACACCATCGGTATTATTCTGAAGTGATATAAACCTTGGTAATTGATACCCGACAAACTGGTTCAAGACGATAGGTGAGAAAAACACTAGGACTTATTAAACACCTTTCGGTCCTGGTTACCTGGAGGTTACCTGGAGGTTATTCCGGGGATCAACGCCCCCGCGGCCCGGTCCATGACCAGGCCTCCCGATGGATCAGGGCCTGATCAACTAGGCTGTTACTGCTGGCCGCACGCAGTCCAACGTACGAGCCACAGCCCGGCTGATCCGGCACTGACTCTAGGTATCTGTCCAGCTCTCTCTTGAAGGCAGCCAGGGGTTTATTGGCAATTCCCCTAATGCTTGATGGGAGGCTGTTGAACAGTTTTGGGCCCCGGACACTTATGGTGTTTTCCCTTAGTGTACCAATAGCGCCCCTACTTTTTATTGGGGGCATTTTGCATCGCCTGCCCAGTCTTTTACTTTCGTAGGGAGTGATTTCTGTGTGCAGATTTGGGACCATTCCTTCCAAGATTTTCCAAGTGTAGATTATGATATATCTCTCCCTCCTGCGTTCCAACGAGTACAAGTGCTTCCAAGCGTTCCCAGTAGTTAAGGTGCTTGACAGAACTTATACGTGCAGTAAGGGATCTCTGTACACTCTCTAGATCTGCGATTTCACCTGCTTTGAATGGAGATGTTAATGTATAGCAGTATTCCAGCCTAGAGAGAACAAGTGATTTGAAAAGGATCATCATAGGCTTGGCATCTCTCGTTTTGAAAGTTCTCATTATCCATCCTATCATTTTCTTTGCACATGCGATCGTGGAAGCACTTCTTCAGTGGATCAAGGTTCCAGGACCTTAAAGTATGCAAAATATGTCCTAGTGCTTGCTTACCTGACTATTTTAAAGCAAAGATGGTAAGGCATATCCCAGCGGTTCCAAATCCTCAGAAACTGGGTTCCAGTCTGTCGCCCCAAATACAAAGTTTGCTAAAATTGGCAAATATCTTCGAGTTCTGTGCCATATTTGTTATGATACTCACTGCAAATCAGTTCCACCAAGCGATCCTGAAATCTGACTACCCACAATCTGGTTGGTAGGTAAGACACATAGGCAACAGTTAGGCAACTTTATTCCGAAACGTTTCGCCTACACAGTAGGCTTCTTCAGTCGAATACAGAAAGTAGGCAGGAACAGTAGAGATGTGAAGACGATGTAATCAGTCCATCACCCTTGAAGTCGTAGAATTTGAGGTTGTCAGTCCCTCGGCCTGGAGAAGTTCAGTTCCATAGTCAGGAACTATCGTACGTCGTATACAGCAGTCAAGTCGAATTGCTTGCAAACACAAATAAATAATAATATTTATTTCTATAATTAATTGATACAACTTATACAGACCATAGCTGACGTCAATTACAAACTGTATAGAAAGGTTCTGGTTATTCAGAGCATTTCCGGAAAATTAGGTTAATTTTGTACCCAGTATGCGACCCACACTAGTCGACTAACACCCAGGTACCTGGTGTCTTAAGGAAAAAGCGCAGACCTCAGTGTGTGAGCTGAGAACGTTACCAACCGAGCTACCGGACACCTAAATCGTACCATAGAACGGATGGGATTTGAACCCATGGCAACTGAATGCTAAAGCTCACCGGCCAGTGTGTTAACCACTGGGCCAGCTGACTACAATAAGATTCATCCAACTAGGTATATTTCTCTACACTATAGGAAGGTTAGCATGGGCCAACACTGAGACCACAAATGCACGTTTTCACAGGTGAATCCCACACCAGCGTGGCTGTGTCATACTCTAGCAAAAGTCCCTTCCAAACCGCCATCATGATTCACGAAATCGTAACAACACAAGTGTTTCGAGTGTTACGTAAACAACTTGACAAAGCTCCTGGAGAGCGAAACGTTGCCACAATGTCACATTAGTTGCATCTCTGTCCATTTTCATGGTATTTTACCATTATTACAAGGACTACCAGGTGGCACTAAACACCTATGTGAATAAACATAGAGATTAGTTTACCATAGATTAGTTTACACAGAGATTAGCTTACTACAGATTAGTTTACTATAGACTGTTTTTATATATTACAGATCACGCAGAATCCTCTATCAGCATCACCTGACACACAATTTTCTGACATCTTTGCTGACAGCCTCAACTATGACGCGAATTTAGTGTTAATTTTAGATGTTAATTTTGCACCTCCAGTAATTTAACCCCACTAACTCCTTCCCTTACTAATTCCACCTCTGTGCTGTATGACCCATACGGGTTAGTCGCATGTGTCTGAATAATTACAATACACATATTATGAAAATAAAATTAGAGACAATAGAAATTAATCCAAACAACTTATATATTTTGTTAAAATTAATACGAAGATAAATTCACCATTGTTAATAAACTAAATATATGAAAAAAAAATTAAAAATCAAAACAGCCATGTTGAAGATATTGCAATTTTGTGCAATATTCAGGGGTCACGTGACTGAGTTTAATAAGACATGTTGGCAACAAATACGACTCTTGCAACTGTTTGTTGACACTGGAAGTATTATTGGAGTATGTAAACACTGGTTGTGGTCGTTCTCTTAGTAATTGATTATGTAAACACAGGTTGTGGTCGTTCTCTTAGTAATTGATGATGTAAACACAGGTTGTGGTCGTTCTCTTAGTAATTGATGATGTAAACACAGGTTGTGGTCGTTCTCTTAGTAATTGATTATGTAAACACTGGTTGTGGTCGTTCTCTTAGTAATTGATTATGCAAACACAGGTTGTGGTCGTTCTCTTAGTAATTGATGAGTATGTAAACACTGGTTGTGGTCGTTCTCTTAGTAATTGATTATGTAAACACAGGTTGTGGTCGTTCTCTTAGTAATTGATTATGTAAA